AATTAGAATGCGCGTATGATTTCGAGTTCTTTGTCAAATAATCCCTCAGAAATAATTTTTGATTTTACATATGTCTTGCATCTAAAAATATACCCAAGACACAGTTAAATGTGTTCAATCATACTGTATAATTCCGCACGTCCCGAAGTCCTTTAAATTGCATCAGCAAAATATATATTATATGGGGAAATATACGTGAACCATTACGCAACGAGTTGACAATTGTTTTAGGTATGCCCGTTTGCGCTAAGACGGAACCTAGTCGCAAAAATGGCCATGAGAGGGGCACGAGTCGCTATTCGGCTTGTCCCGGAATACCACGAGTTGGTCACGAATGTGTTCAGCGATTGTTTGTGCCCAACTCGGCTTACTCCGCCACCTACATAACACACATGCCGGGGGTATTATGCAAAACAGAGAAGGACGAACTCCTATTTATATTTGATGGGAAACGGATGCAGAATCCGCCACTAAAGCGCCCCTTCCAGGCCAGGAGTATGTTCAGACGAAACATTTGGCACTATTGGTTTGATTGGCAGCTTGTTCAATCTTGCCTTTTTAATAATTTGATTGAACGTTTGGTGTATGAAAAGTCAATGTGTTTGTTATATTGAATCTATAATTATTTCAATTAAGAATAATATGTTATCTTAGACTGTGGCAAAGTTTACAGATATCCATCTGTGCTGTGATAACATTTCTGCAGACGTATTGTTATATAATTCACAGAAAACAAGTTACGGGCCAATTACTGGCAATCAATACCCCAGTTTAATATTTTTCGTGCAGGGAGGTCCCGGGCTAGCTACATGCACAATCGATCATTTGGATATCCGGTTCATTGAATGTGGTATTGATTAATGTCGGATCATTAGGTTGTTTGGATTTGTCTTTTCGCATGATCTATATGCCCAGTGTTGAGATAGGCTGTGAACTGCAGGGCATCAACATAAAATGTTATATCGGAAGTAATACATGCTGCTTAAGGAGGCTTTGCTAGAAGAGGGAAAAGCGACATGGTTAGTACTACGACTCCAGGATCCCATGCTAGGTTTAGGAGTTGACCGGGGAATCAGGTTGGTCGTGGACGGGCTTGGTGATTGTGTGTCAGCGTATAGCGACGTCGTGGACCCTGTCTCATACTTCTAACTACTGGCGTTTCTGGCCTAGATTACAATATTAACACTCAGTGCATCGACATCCTAATTATCACCACTACAACTACTGCAGCTATACACTACATCACTACAGCTACACCGACACCGCCTTCACCGCTATAACTACACCTACACTGCCATCACTACTACAGCTACACCTACAATATCATCACTACTACAGCTACACCTACACTACCATCACCACCAAAGCTACACCTACACCGCCATCACCGCTATAGCTACACCTACACTGCCATCACTACTACAGCTACACCTACACTACCATCACCGCTACAGCTACACCTACACTGCCATGATTACAACAGCTACACCTACACCGCCATCACCGCTATAGCTACACCTACACTACCATCACAACTACAGCTACACCTACACTGCCATCACTACTACAGCTACACCTACACTGCCATCACAACTACAGCCACACCTACACCGCCATCACAACTATAGCTACACCTACACTACCATCACAACTACAGCTACACCTACACTGCCATCACTACTACAGCTACACCTACACTACCATCACAACTACAGCCACACCTACACCGCCATCACAACTATAGCTACACCTACACTACCATCACAACTACAGCTACACCTACACTGCCATCACAACTACAGCTACACCTACACTACCATCACTGCTATAGCTACACCTACACTGCCATCACTACAACAGCTACACCTACACTACCATCACAACTACAGCTACACCTACACTGCCATCACTACTACAGCTACACCTACACTACCATCACCGCTATAGCTACACCTACACTGCCATCACTACTACAGCTACACCTACACCGCCATCACCGCTATAGCTACACCTTCACTACCATCACCGCTACAGCTACACCTACACTACCATCAATGCTATAGCTACACCTACACCGCCATCACCACTACAGCTACACCTACACTACCATCACCGCTATAGCTACACCTACACTGCCATCACTACTACAGCTACACCTACACTGCCATCACCGCTACAGCTACACCTACACTGCCATGATTACAACAGCTACACCTACACCGCCATCACCGCTATAGCTACACCTACACTACCATCACAACTACAGCTACACCTACACTGCCATCACTACTACAGCTACACCTACACTACCATCACCGCTATAGCTACACCTACACTGCCATCACTACTACAGCTACACCTACACCGCCATCACCGCTATAGCTACACCTACACTACCATCACAACTACAGCTACACCTACACTGCCATCACTACTACAGCTACACCTACACTACCATCACAACTACAGCCACACCTACACCGCCATCACAACTATAGCTACACCTACACTACCATCACAGCTACAGCTACACCTACACTGCCATCACAACTACAGCTACACCTACACTACCATCACTGCTATAGCTACACCTACACTGCCATCACTACAACAGCTACACCTACACTACCATCACAACTACAGCTACACCTACACTGCCATAACTACTACAGCTACACCTACACTACCATCACCGCTATAGCTACACCTACACTGCCATCACTACTACAGCTACACCTACACCGCCATCACCGCTATAGCTACACCTTCACTACCATCACCGCTACAGCTACACCTACACTACCATCAACGCTATAGCTTCACCTACACCGCCATCACTACTACAGCTACACCTACACTACCATCACCGCTATAGCTACACCTACACTGCCATCACTACTACAGCTACACCTACACTGCCATCACTACTACAGCTACACCTACACTGCCATGATTACAACAGCTACACCTACACCGCCATCACCGCTATAGCTACACCTACACTACCATCACAACTACAGCTACACCTACACTGCCATCACTACTACAGCTACACCTACACTACCATCACCGCTATAGCTACACCTACACTGCCATCACCACCACAGCTACACCTACACTACCATCACAACTACAGCTACACCTACACTACCATCACCGCTATAGCTACACCTACACTGCCATCACTACTACAGCTACACCTACACTGCCATCACTACTACAGCTACACCTACACTACCATCATCGCTATAGCTACACCTACACTGCCATCACTACTACAGCTACACCTACATTACCATCACCGCTATAGCTACACCTACACTGCCATCACTACTACAGCTACACCTACACTGCCATCACTACTACAGCTACACCTACACTGCCATCACTACTACAGCTACACCTACACTACCATCACTACTACAGCTACACCTACACTGCCATCGTCACTACAGCTACACCTACTACAGCTACACCTACTGTAGCTAAACACTGCCATCGTCGTTACGGCTACACTGCACACCACCATCATCATATAGCTACACCTGCACACTACATCATCACTACAGCTACACCCACACACTACACCTACTGTAGCTAAACACCGTTCTACTATCACCGTTCTATTATCACCACCACAGACACACTACATGGCCGCTCTATCAACCTACTGTACAAAGACGTCAGTCTTCACGCACGGAGGTGCTACCTGTAACCTAAGACATACGCACCGCGAACACAAGGCGTCACCGTCGTACAACGTTGTTTTAGTGTAGGTACTACTCGGCTTTTTTTCGCTTCTACATTTTGTTTTGTCTCTCTGTTGTGTTCACGTGTCGGTGAAACAAGTATGAATATACCTAGTACGTTGACAATGTAGTGATATAGTTCATAAGTTCTATATCACAGTGGAAATACCAAATATCTCCGTATCACGTATAGTATCCTCGTATCACAATATATCATGAAACACCCCTAAATTCATCTCTGGGAGTGATGCGATTTGGTCTAAATATTTTCTTCCGGGGGTAGTTTATTATATCCTGAAATCTGCTGAGAGGTCACCTATAAGCACCAACAATATAACATCATCTAATAGTTATTTATTGCGCATTGGAAAATATAGCCAATATGTATCTGTAATAAAATTAGAATACAAACATAAAACTTGAGGCTATCGCGCCATATACTAGAATTGATCAAAGAATTACAAAGCAACACGAAGTTCCTTGCCAAGCAAACAATAGATATGTTGATTTTAGGTTTTATCCACTGACTTATTCTCGTTTCAAATTCTTATGGAATGATTTCAAATAACTTGAACTGAACGCCGATTGCACGAGAACCTATAAACATCGACGCATCGTTTCCACAATATACCAACTCTCTTCATCTCTGTAAGGCGACATCAAAAGATGACGTCATATTTTAAAGGGGTATGATTGGTGGTCTTCACCCAGGACAAGGTGAGACTGAGACATCCTTAAATAGATACATGGCAAGAACATATAATGTATTCAAGATGGATCCGAGACAACGTTACGTTTCAGCTGAAATGTTATCAAAGCTGCTTACGTATAATATATCTTTATTTAGGTAAAAATATCAACAGATAGATATATAACATATTTTCTGGAACTAGATATTGTACAAAGTTGGAATGTATGGAACTATGCATAAACTTTATAAGCTTTAGAACACAATGTCCGGTGAACGTATGGTTGTATAATGGCCAAACTAAAACACTTGAATATGTCCTATAGCATATCAGGTACACATCTATTTTTCTTAGTAGATAAAAAAAAAAACCCGTTGAAAACATGCTCTTTGGGGCAAAAATTCAAGTATTTTACAATTTTAGTGCCTTTCACGAACCATAGAAACGGCTATCCAGAACGAAGCCATTGGTGAAGTCATGAATGTCGCCATTACAATGTGTCTACCCGTAAGTATATGATCAATACATATACCCATTATAAAACTCCTTTCATTATACTTACCAAAGGTTCAACAACGATAAGTCCTTCCCAAAATATTATAAAAAACACAGGGTTGTAGCTGGTTCCCCCGCGAAAGTCCACCCTCTCCAATACTGTGTTACCGGGGTAGCTGGCATGCGCCTTCCTCGATGTTCCTGCCGCGGACAAGCTAGCTCGACTCGGTCGCCTTGGTGCTGACGGCGTCACCAGATGTATCGATTCCAAAGACCGGTTCCCACAATTGACAAACAATCATCACGGCTCTCACCTACCCAAAACTAATGTCCCGTGGGAAAGTTTGCATATAAAGATAGCAGTTCAAAGGAAGATTGTTTCTCCGGGTAGAGATGAGATAATCTGTGTGTTAAACATCTGAACATTTGCTGGCTTCATTTTTTCATGAAGATTCGGAATCGATTTTGGAATTGTCAGCCATTTTTATCATGCATAGACGTGGCATGTAAAGCGAGCGTTTCCAGTATATTAGCATTGCTGCTTTCTGCAGCAGAGGGTGAATACTTTGTAGCGATGATGGCGGGTAGTTTTATTGTAGGGTCTATGTTATCTGCGTCGTTTAGTGAAGGTACAATCTGGACAGACACGTAGTGGCTGGAACAAACTACAGACATAGGACTCAGACACATGCATATGCATATTACCCGACCTACATGTCCCTTAACATTGAATAACATTGTCTTAAAGAATGTAAACTGTAAACAAAATATAAAAGTGATTTGTTCCTTGGGGCGTGACATGATGTCAAATGAAGCCATTATTTTAGTTTTATGTCTGATTCAAAATCAAATCAAGTGGTGGGATGTGTTTGATGCCTCAAGGGAGGAGAAGGGTGGGATGTGTTTGATGCCACAAAGAAGGGGATGGGTGGAATGTGTTTGATGCCGCCAAGAAGGGGATTGTTGGAATGTGTTTGATGCCACTAGGAAGGGGATGGGTGGGATGTGTTTGATGCCACTAGGAAAGGAATGGGTGGGATGTGTTTGATGCCACCAAGAAGGGAATGGGTGGGATGAGTTTGATGCCACTAGGAAGGGGATGGGTGGAATGTGTTTGATGCTAGTAGGAAGGGGATGGGTGGAATGTGTTTGATGCCACTAGGAAGGGGATGGATGGAATGTGTTTGATGCCACCAAGAAGGGTATGGGTGGAATGTGTTTGATGCTAGTAGGAAGGGGATGGATGGAATGTGTTTGATGCCACCAAGAAGGGTATGGGTGGAATGTGTTTGATGCTAGTAGGAAGGGGATGGGTGGGATGTGTTTGATGCCACTAGGAAGGGGATGGGTGGAATGTGTTTGATGCCACTAGGAAGGGGATGGATGGAATGTGTTTGATGCCACCAAGAAGGGTATGGGTGGAATGTGTTTGATGCTAGTAGGAAGGGGATGGATGGAATGTGTTTGATGCCACCAAGAAGGGTATGGGTGGAATGTGTTTGATGCTAGTAGGAAGGGGATGGGTGGGATGTGTTTGATGCCACTAAGAAGGGTATGGGTGGAATGTGTTTGATGTCACTAAGAAGGGGATGGTTGGAATGTGTTTGATGCCACTAAGAAGGGTTTGGATGTGTTTGATGCTAGTAGGAAGGGGATGGGTGGAATATGTTTGATGCTAGTAGGAAGGGGATGGGTGGAATGTGTTTGATGCCACTAAGAAGGGGGTGGGTGGAATGTGTTTGATGCCACTAAGAAGGGGATGGATGGAATGTGAGGAGATGTGTTTGATGCCTCCACGGAGGAGATGCTGGGATGTGCTTGATGCATCCACGGAGGAGATGCTGAGATTTGTTTCATAACCTCCACGGAGGAGATGCTGGATTGTGTCTGATGCATCCACGTAGGGGATGCTGGGGTGTGTTTGATGCATACACGGAGGAGACGCGGGGATGTGTTTGATGCATCCACGGAGGGGATGCTGGGGTGTGTTTCATAGCCTCCACGGAGGAGATGCTGGGATGTTTGATGCATACACGGTGGGGATGCCGGGATGTGTTTGATGCATACACGGAGGAGATGCCGGGATATGTTTGATGCATACACGGAGGAGATGCTGGGATATGTTTGATGCATACACGGAGGAGATGCTGGGATGTGTTTGATGCATCCAGGGAGGGGATGCTGGGATGTGTTTGATGCATCCACAGAGGAGATGCTGGGATGTGTTTGATGCAAACACGGAGGAGATGCTGGGATGTGTTTGATGCATCCACTGAGGAGATGCTGGGGTGTGTTTGATGCATCCACCGAGGGGATGCTGGGATGTGTTTGATGCATCCACGGAGGAGATGCTGGGATGTGTTTGATGCAAACACGGAGGAGATGCTGGGATGTGTTTGATGCATCCACAGAGGAGATGCTGAGATTTGTTTCATAGCCTCCACGGAGGAGATGCTGGGATGTTTGATGCATACACGGAGGAGATGACGGGATGTGTTTGATGCATACACGGAGGAGATGCTGGGATGTGTTTGATGCATCCACGGAGGAGATGCTGGCATGTGTTTAACGCCTCCACGCAGTAGATGAGTAGAATGAGTTCCATCCTACCAGGGAGGATGTCGCTGAGATGTGTTCAATCATTATTGGAGAAAGGCTTTATCTATAAAAACAATCCGTCGTATTTATGTTGTCTCGGTCGAATGTTTGCACCTCAGGATGGAGATGACAATTGGCATTTCTGTGATAGCACACAAATATATACAAAGATCAACCCATAGCTATATTTCTGACATATAGTCATTGTCTGAACGCCCTCTCTTTAAATCAATTATATTATTTAAAGGTGATTATCTGTAACGGAATAGATAACGACATTATTCTATTTTATATTCTTGTAAATATACTAACAGTTCCATTATTACTCTACAAAGTTTAGTGATAGAACGTACATATAGTGTGATGTTTGTCGGTACATGCAAGCCATAACTGCTATTTCTGTGTATTCCGTGTAAACACAGATCGATCAAATTATGAACTTAAACAGTTATATACACACAAGCACGTATATACACTATTGATAGTATATGCACTGAACATATGGGACTGTGTGAAAGTATGAAAGCATCTTTATGTTTATGGCGGCCGGTCTACCAACACCGTGTTTAATAACAATAATAACAACAATAACAATACGCCTCTCGTCGATCATTGCTTCCGATAGCGGAAGAACAAAGGATGTACAATTATGTTGAAGTCGACGTCAGCTGATTATAATTTGTATGACATTATTAAAACGGGATGCAGAATCAAATGAATAATTGCCCAAGTTACAGTGTAGCATCCCAGTTACAATGAAGGATCTGTATGACTAGCATCCACGCCATTATTGCACGTCCTGGGTCATTGTCTTCCGTCCAGAACAGTATGTGTACACCGGTTGCCTGGTCACTAATACACATCCCACGTCATGTTCTGCCGTCTTGTGTTCTTTTAGATCGCAGGCCTGTAGGTTTGAGATGTTAACTGCTGAAGAAATATATTCTATCAGCAGGATCGATGTGCTTACACGTATTTTTCTGTAGGAAAAAGCAATCTGACAAATAGAGTTTAAGGTGTTTATTCTTAATCACAGTGTTCACGTATTATGTAATAAAACTGTACACATTGTAGATAAACTAAATATCGATTTAAATAATTGATTTGTGATTTTCAAGGTAAACCTTTTAAATAATAATATGACGGGATTACAGAAAGTCATTTATGTCAGAAAGGTTTGCTGTATTATATACAGAGACCACTACGTGTATCCCTGTGTGTCAGTTAATCTATAACATTCTAATCCCCAGGAAATGATGGGATTAACAGTGTGAAATAGTTAGCCCGCATACATATCTTATTTAGGAATTACGTTAGTGGTTGATTAAAGTATTGGTTGAATGAGGTTTTTTAGTGAGTATTTCAATGGTTTCTTTGGGTTTGAACGACTACTTCAGTGAGTGGACAAAGGAGAGTGACTGAGTTGGTGAATGATTGTTGAATGATTGATGGAGTGAGTGAATGGGCGAAGGATTAAGTGACTTGTTGGGGGTGTAATATAAACAAGTGGTTCTAATACACCCACTCGGAATGCGAAAGTTATCCAACTCAACACAGAAGGATTATAAATATGTTCCATTTATCGATAAGAAATGCAGTCAGTAACTTGAACGATCTGCCCTTTTATTTTTTTAATATATACCCGCATATTTCTTTATGATTAGAAACACCATCTTTAACAACATTAAAGCACCGCATTTTTGTTAGATTATTATTTTTGGTATACAAATAATATTATTACCGTCATTGCTTATAACTCCAATTTAAGAATCCAATATATCTACGTATTTGTCTTAAGGATACCATTTATGGATATATGAGTTTTTTGGTCGACCAGTTCTTGAGGAAGTACCATCAACAACAACAACAGAAACAACAATTACAAAGTTTCTGGCGGGCAGGCGGGCATTTACATAAAGCATATTATGACGGTACTCACTCAACATTTACATGGATAACTTCTGGCTTCAACTTTCTTGGCAAGGTAAAACAGGAACATGTTGCCCAAAATGTAATGTTTCTCTTGTCAACACACAGATAATCTCTTCATTCTCTTCATTTAATTAATTAATTAAAACAGATTGGAATTGGGAGAACTAAATGCATGAATTATCAACTAAAAATCGAAGGAAGAACATACTTTAACTTCATAGATAGCTTATGCATACGAATGCAAGATGCACGTGTAAAATGTAAGTTGTAAGACAAAGACATGACTTCAATGTTCAAACATGGTATTGATATCTCAGAAGTATTGTGGTACTTGAGCACTATTTCCTTTCATGTTGACTTCAAGTAACGTCGCATCATGAACTCACTGGGCCAAGCATATGGGCCGAGTGAGACAGAATGAGAGAGAGAGAGAGAGAGAGAGAGAGAGAGAGAGAGAGAGAGAGAGAGAGAGAGAGAGAGAGAGAGAGAGAGAGAGAGAGAGAGAGAGAGAGAGAGAGAGAGAGAGATAAACAACACTCACTCACTCAACATTTACATGGATAACTTCTGGCTTCAACTTTCTTGGCAAGGTAAAACAGGAACATGTTGCCCAAAATGTAATGTTTCTCTTGTCAACACACTGAACTCACTGAGAGAGAGAGAGAGAGAGAGAGAGAGAGAGAGAGAGAGAGAGAGAGAGAGAGAGAGAGAGAGAGAGAG